TTAAATAAGTTTTTTTTATTTAATATATGTTGTAATCATATTTTTAAAATATAAGTAAAATAATAATAAGTATATCAAATGACATCTTAAAAAAGAAGAACGAATAACTAAATTTGAATGCTTGAAATTAAAAATTAAGTAGACTAATAGTACTTTCATTTGAGGGGAATAGATGGGAGAGGAATGGAGAGATGTTGTATCATTTGGATAAGTAAATGAATTAAAAGAACACATAAAACAAATGGTTTTCTTCCCCCTTATTTCCCCTCCAACTCTTTTAGTAACCAAATAGAGGAAAATTTTCTTCTTCCCTTCCCTTCCCTTCCTTCCTCCCCTCTCCATTTCACTCAACCTAAAAATACTATAAAGTTAAATGAAGGAGCAAAATTTAAGTTTTGAAACTAATATTTTTTTTTTAAAAATGACTCCATTTAAATTTAATAATCTTAGTTTGATTTTTTAACTTTTTCGATGCAAATTTTAAATAAAAATTTAATGTATTATATAAATAATTAAAATTATTTTTATCAAATAAATACTTAGCAAGAATTATGTATATATAAAAATTAATTATTATTTATATAACTTGTTCAATTTTCATCACAAAAATTCATATTTAAAAAATTAAAAAATACATTAAGATTAATATAGAGGTATTGTAAAATAAAGAAAGAATCAATTAGAAAAAGAAGAAAAATTAAAGAGACAAAGTAAGGTAATACAAAGATATATTATATTTTTATTCCTTTCTTCTCCATTTGTTCTTCATTTGTTCTATATACATTTGTAATAGTACAAGCCCAATATATAGGGGGCCAATAGGTAATAGGAGTTACAAGAAATAAACATCTATTAAATGAGAGGTTACAAGGATTAATCTCCTACTAATGAAGGGGTTACAAGGAGTTCCATTATCACAATCTAAATGCATGGCACTATGGGGGGTGTTAATCACCATTGTATTTGCATGGAGATAGTGGAAGTTACACCATTACTTAGTGTGTAAATGTCATGGAAAGTGGGGAAATGAGAAGATGAAGAAGGTGAAACATCCACAATGAATTGATTCATAACACTCCCTCTTGGATGTTCACCTTTTATTATACGCTTGTTAAATTGCCTCATTAAAAACCTTGCCAAGAAAAAATCCAATGAGGAAAAAAAAACAAAAAAACCTTGGCAAAGGAAAAAAAAAAAAGTACAGTGTGTATAATACTTCCCTTGAATTCAATGTATATTTATAATCAGGCAATTTATGCTAATCTAGTGTCTAAGCTGCTCAAAGTTCTAGAAGCCAATAATTTTGTAAAGAGAATTTGCTAGCTTTTGATTTAAATAAATTTAATAGAGACTATTTTATTATATTTTTGGAGTACTGATATAAAAATATTACGTAATTATTTTGATTTTAATTTTATGTGGGTTATCTCTTTTCATATTGGCCAATTATTTCTTTGTCGACAATTTTCAATAAATTTGATTGAAGATCCTCATTTTCATTGATTATATCTATCACTATTGCATATGCTAAAATTTCTTATTAATAGCGATTTCATTTCAGTTCTATTTTCTTTTTAGGAGGATTATAATTTATTGAAATCTCATCATTGTATATAATTTCAACCGTCTCGTTGTTTTCAAGTACCTAAA